ACGTTTATACGGGCATTTCAACAGTCTGAAAGGATTGTTTATTTCTGTTTGCTTTTTTCTTTAAGGAAGCCATCCAAAAGTACCTAAGCCTGAGGAGCAATGGCACAAATATGAAGCTAGCTGCAGGTGACCTTATTTTCACTACAATTCAGCATCAGAGTCTCAGAGGAAAAAAATGCTACACGTTTCAGCATGTCACTCTGCCTGTCTGTTTTACGTTGAGACCTGTCATTTCAGTGGCTGTACTGATAAGGCCACCCTAGGCCCAGGACGCAGTATGTGCACCGGCAATGCAGGGATGCCCAGAGAGTGGACGGTGAATGGAAATTCTGCTCCCTCAGCCACTAGCCAGTGGGTGACCCTTGGTTCCCCCATTCTGAAAGGCTGAGGCATATTCATATCACATCCAACTCCAAAACTTTGTGATTCTATCACCTCCTTTCTCCTTCAGAGATTTGGAGCTTTACAAAAATTCAAGTGACGGTGTTAGATGGGTCAGGGAACTGACCAGGAAGGAATGTACTTTCTACTTTATATTCTGTCATAAATCTAAATGTGACCTACACAGTTTCATTTTTACCCCTTATTTCAAATGAGTTCAAGGGACACTCTGAAGTCCAAGTACTTCATGGGAAACAATGAGAAATATTAATATACTAAAGAGCTTCATACAAACCAGAAAAATGTGTACCATGGGCTTGCAGCATAACATCAGAGCTGCACAGCATGAGTCCATGAAAAAGTTGGGTAGGAAACTAAGCGTGTGTAATCCCGATTGCTAGGTTGTTCACCACTATTCATTTATACATGTTTATTCCTTTTGTAACTTGAGAACTCTCACTAATAAATAGGCACCACCAGCCACCAAAGTTCAAGGCAAAACATGGCAGAGAAAATTCAATTCATCAATTACGTTTTGTTTTACTGCAAATTTGGAAGAAGTCCCCACAATTCTTTTATCAGTAGATCACGCTGTTCTAGTTGTTCTTTGCCAGCACAGTTTAAAAACTGCTGCCATAAAACTTATCTTTTTTGCTTGAAAGATGGCTATCCATCTTTTTATTTGTTGCAAAAGGGTACTGAGTACTAGAAATCAGAAAGCATTTGTAAGAACTTGGAGAGCAATCATGCTCCTATTAAGGCAGTAAGCTGATTTCCTCTAAAAATAGCGTATTGGGTATTCGGTCCAAACTGACTTATTTACTCATTGTTTTACTAAGAAAGTGATACTAGGATCCTGCCAGTGAAGTCCAAGTTTTACCCTAGTACTGCTGCACATACATACCCACAGGAAGAAGAAACAGACAGTCACAAGGTAACCATTTAAACTCCCCAGGTAAGGGAAACTTGTGCTAAGGCAGCTCAAAACATTCCTCCAACAGAGTTTCTCAACCTGGGCGCTACTGACATTTTGGGCTCGATAATCCTTTGTTGAGGGGGGCTGTCCTGCATGTTGTTCGACATTTAGCGCCATCCCTGGAATCTACCCACCTCACCCCAGTTGTAACAACCAAGTATTGTCTCCAGGTTTCAACAAATGTCCCAAGGGATGGGAGTGGGGGAGAGGCAGGGAGAGGCAAAAGTACCCTCGAGAACCAGTTCTCTAACAGCAGAAGACTATCTGCATAAAAAGAGAAAACATAAGTAACAGCTAGAGAAGTTTTTTAAAGCATATCAAAGTTGGACCAGTCAATTCATTTCATTATGGGAAATGAAAACCCAACTTTAACAACTATCTAGTCTACCCAAAACCAAAAAAACTGTTCAACTGGCAAGCTACTGAAGCTCAAATTAATGTGGTTAGAAAGCAAGAAAGAATTCTAATTGAAAAATTTACAAAGAAAAGCATTAGTAACTCAAAGTTTTCGGCGATAAAAGCACATTCAAAGACACAGTAAGTGCTTTTCCAACCTCAAAGCAAACTATCTCAAGATGACAAATTTGTTTTATCTCCTCTGCCAACTCCAACCAACTGTAGCCCTGAACTGAGCAGGATCTGGGGCTGAATGAGAGCTACCTGAAAGTGAAAAATATTTGAAGCAAATACTGATGTCTGCCACAAACAGGCAAGGCATGGTGATAAGTATGCCTCATGTCCATCTTCTTGGTGTTCAACTTTCTTGATGTTCAAAATAATATTCATCAAATTTGGCTATAATAAAATGTTTGGGGGGGAGGAAGGAATCCTCCACAGTGCCACCAGGCTTTACCCAATTGGGCAAAGAAAAGAAAAAATACATCAGATTATATCACTCCCCTGCTTAAAAATCAGCTCTCAACTTTCAGAGGATAAAGTCCGAACCAGCATAGCTCACAAAGCCCTTCAGGATCCATTTATAACACACTTCTCCCAGGCTTTCTGCCCCCTCCCAAGTGCTACGTGGTATAACCAGCCACTAAATGTCTATTCCCCACAACCACATGCCCTTTCATGCCACCCCACCACCTGCCTGCCTGGCAAACTTCTATTCATCCTTCAGAACACTGCTCAGAAGTCACCTTTTCTGTGATGCTTTACTTGTTCCTTGGTGCCTGCCGTTCAAAGTATGGTCAGCATCAGCATTACCTGGGAGATTGCTAAAAACGCAGAATCTCAGGCATCACTCCGGCTCTACTGAATCCAAATTGGCTTTGTAACAAGATTCCCAGGTGAATTATGTGCATATTAAAGTGTGAGAAGCTGTCTCAGGGAACTTACCATATCCCAATAGACTCAGCTCTTCATAGGCAGGTACGGGGTCTTCCCCAAATGAAAGTGCCTAGCTCATGGTAGGTGAGGCACTTTGGTGGGCTGTCTAAGAGGTAAAACCCATCCTTCATTCATCACTATTAAGGCAGGAAAATACAAAAACCCACCTTCAGCCTCCATGGCAGCCAACTGACATAGTTACAGTCAATGAGATATCAGCAGAAGCCTGCTAAGGGGGCTTCTGGAAGAACTTTTATTTCCCTAATGACTTCCTGCTTTCCTGTTTAAAATGCTGGGTGCTGCAGCTGCCATCATCAGACAACCATGAGGTGACAAACAAAAAGCCAATAATAGCTAAGGACAACAGGGTGGAAACACAGAACTGCTCTGGGTCCTCATTGAGCCCATCAAGCCACCTTAGAACCACCAACCTCCAGGCTACGGCATTTTTATTGCTTAAGGCACTACCATTAGGGATTTCTCTTTCTCATGCCGAATGCATTCCTACTGATTGAGTAAACCCTCAATAAATGGGAGGAGAATGAATGAATGCAGAATGAAACCTACTAAAGGTTCAGAGGATTATATTTTTAAAAAGGCAAGGCCTCTAAGAATCTGTTCAAGTCTGCCAAAGTACTCCTATAAATCAGGCACTGAACTTCTAGAATTATTGACCCATTTCTGTTCACAGCTTAATGGATTTTTTTAAAAAAGTGAACACAAACTCATTAAAAGCACTGGAAATACTCACATACAAAGATGCTGAAGAAACTCATTTGCACACCAAACAAACACTGGACTCTGACCTTGAAAACTATGCAAGTGCTGTGGCTACTTACAGGCAACTATAAGCAAAGAGGGAAGAAAACAACAACAGAAAAACGTATGGCAGCCAGTTCTCCCGGCCATCCTACTTCTACTTTCTTATTTTGAGATCTCTGACATAGATCTCATTTTTTTCCAGTCGCTATCTCAGTCAAATATTTCCATTCAAATCACCAAGATCAAACAGCAACCATTTTTTTTCTTTTCGAGAAAAACAAGGCTGAGCAACATAAAGTATAAAAAGGGGAGGGATGCACACTAGTGCTGTTGTTCAGCAAGAAAGTAACCAAGTGCAGACTCTTCAGCTAGATCACCGTTTTCTATTTTAACCAAATCACCCATTTTTATGTAAATAAATGCATTTTATAAAGAAAATGTATAGCACCAATGGGAAACCAAGTATTATTTGCCATAAATTGAAGACAAATTAAAAAACAAACCCAATAAAAACATAACCTTATTAAATTCAAGCTACAGTGGCCTGCCAAAGCCTCTAAACTTGAAGCTTGCTCTCTGTTTAAAAAACAAAAGGGATGGGGGATGAGCAAAGAGATGTTAAAAACAGGCTAACATGAAGAGGAGACCTTCTCCTGGGCCTGATCAAGATAGAAAGAGAACAGAAAAGGAGTTAACTTTCTCGCTGTTTGATGTCACTCTATTTAATAACATATTTATGTCTCACCTAAAAGTAACCCTTATACACACACTCTCAAATCATTTTCCCCTTCTGCTTAGAATAAGAGCCCAATTCCTTAGTGCAGCCCAAATGGCCCTATACCATCTGGCCCCAGCCCACCACCACTCAGCTCTCAAATCTCACCCAGTCACTACATTTGCAGAGGGCCCAAGGGCCACATATGTCCCCCAATTTAAAGTAGGCTGCCAGAACGCCAATCACATCACCTGGTTTTGCTCTCTTCAAACTTCTATTGGATACTATCTCGTTAAGTTACTAAACTGTTAAATAACAAAAATAATAATAGCAAATACACATGGTACTAGGCACAGCTGAAGCATTACATATTAGATTGAACACCTACAAAAGTGCCTAAAGGTCAAAAATTGATAACTTCATAGTGTTCGACCTAATATATATTAACTTGTTTCTAGCTCACAACCACCTTATGAGGTAAGTGCCAGACGAAGAAACTGTTGCACAGAGAGGTTGAGTAGCCTGCTCACACTCACACCGCTGAGATTTGACCCCAGGCTCCACACTCACACCCCACTAAGACTGCAAGTTCCTTGAAGGCAGGCAGTCCTGCTCACTGCAATGTCGTCCGCCAATGCCTATCACAGGGTAGTGGTTAAGCACGTAGTAAGCTCTCAGGAAGCACACAATGAATGAATGTCCCTTACAATCGGTGTCATCTGTCCCAGACCTCCCTGAGCAACCCAAATAGGCGTCTGCCCAGCCGAGAGGAGCAAGGGGAAGACGGGCGGGAGGGTGCCCGGGACCCGGGAGCGGCGCGGCGCGCGGGCTCACCTTGAAGTCGCGGCTGTGCTGCGGCGTGTACTCCAGCGTCCAGAGGGCCCGCACCAGGTGCGCCAGCTGCTCGGTGACCTCGCCCTGGCCCTGCGCGCCGCGGCCCGCGGGCTGCTCGGGGTCAGGCGAGGGCTCCGGCCGCCCCGCCCGGTACTGGCCCAGCGCCAGGTACTCGGCGAAGAGCTCGGTGTTGCTGAGGCACTGCAGCGTGGCGTTCATGAAGCACGTGTTGCCGTGGTTGCGGAGCCCCGCCACGCCGGGCACCGGCTCGGCGGCGCAGGAGGGCGGCGCGGGCGGCGCGGGCGAGGCGGGCGGCGCGTGGCGCGGCGTCCGGCGGCGGAGCTGCGGAGGCCGCCGCGGTCCGGGGCGGCGCCCTCGGAGCTAAGGTGCGAGAGCGTGGACAGCGTCTTGAGGACGCGGCTCATGAAGCTGCCCACCGAGCGCGCCGAGGAGGGCGAGGAGGGCGCGGCCGGCCCGGGACCCCCCGCGCCGCCGCCGCCCGCGCGGCCGCTCCGGAACAGCCGCTTGCTGAAGGAGCGCTTCTCCTTCCCGCCCGCCGCCGCCGCCGCCGCCGCGGGCGGCCCGGGCCCGGGCGCCGTTACCTTGGACATGGCGGCGGCCGCAGACGCTCATCACCGCGCCCGCCCGCCCGGCCCTCGGCTCCGCCACGGCCGCCGCCGCATGCTGCCGCGCCGCGCCTCACCGGGCCCGGGGCTCTACGCCCCACACTCCTAAGAGCGCCGCGGAGCCAGCGAGCCAGCGAGCGAGCAGCGGCCGGCGGGGCGGGCGGGCGCGCGCGCGGTCCGCCCAGCTGGGCCGCTCACGTGACCCGCCTCCGGCACCTCCCGCTTGGCGCTGAAGCCGCCGCGGCCGCCATGTTGACTGTGGGAACGTAGCCGCCTCTCCAGCCGGACGCGAGGACTCTCGCCTGTGGGCGCGGTACTGCCGCGTGAAGCCCGAAGGAGGCCATGTCTAGTGTGGGCGCGGTCCAGGCGTGGAGGGGCTGGGCGGGGGACCCCAAGGGTGGGTCTTCGGTCTTTGCTGATCGGATGGCGGAGGCCTAGGAAACGTGCAGGAATCAGGATGCCATCCCTTACAAAGACTACAGAAGAGCTGGTGGGCAATGGCCCTGACCGGTCCTTGGCCAGCCAACCCCGCCTGGCCCCAAGGGACATTGCAGATCCCCACCGCCTGCTTGCCATCCAAACGCCGTCACTGAGCCTGGCACGACCAGGTGGGCTTTGCTGCACCTTGGGGTCCTGGCGACGCGCTGTTATAGGAACTACCTTACTTTTCATTCAAACCTTTAGAACCCCTCTGAGCTCTCACATCATTCGTTCATTCACTCTACAGATAATTACTGAGAACCTGCTATATGCCAGGCACTGTGCCAGACCATGGGAATACTACAAAGAATGAAATTAACACACTTTCTGCCTGCCCGCCTGCAGCTTACGTTCCTAGAGGATGCTTATATAGCTGCTATATTCCACACATCATGCCAAGCATGAAATATCTTCTTTAATCTCAATGCAACACCTTTGGGATTGGTACAGTTCTTATCCAATTCAAACCCAAGTTTGATTAAAGCCCTTATATCGGCCTCTAAACCGGAGGTCACGGACCCACAAATATCACAGGGACCAGATCTAGGTCACAGCAATGAGTGAAGAATCCTGGTGTTTCAATGATATTGACCTTTAAGTGACTTGGCACTCAGTGTTGGGGAGAATATAAGGAACGATAGGGACTATGGCAAACTGAAGATTAACATCCTTTTAATATGGAGGCTGCCACTCAGTTCCAGCCAGTTGTTCCCATGTGAGAATGAGGGTTCAGTGTTACCAGACCAACTGATCTTTTTAAGAGAAGGTGGAAATCCTATTTTTAAATGTTGGTTCCATTAAAAAAGAAAAATGCAGGAAAAAAAATACATCTTTGTTCTGCCTTTAGCCCAAAACCACTGGTATGTGACCTCTCTGTAGGTTCTCCTCTTTGCTAACAGGGCTAGCCTGAGTCCCGGTTACTGCAGAAGGGAGAAATCAGGGAAAGGAGAGCCCTTCACGTTTTTAAAGGATGAAGGCAACCTTACGTCACATTTGAAGTAAATGTTTTTTTTTTCCTCTGGCTTCCCACTACATTGTGAGTAGTGCCCTATGATGACATTCCCAAGGTGCTCTTCATTGTGCCTAATCACCTCACTCCCACCTCCTGGTCAAAATACCTATCCTCACTGCACTTGAGTCCATCTGGACATCAGGAAGGAAGTCATTTGATCATTCATACTAAAGTGTGAATGCAATGGTCCTCAATTTTGGCAGACACGTTTGTGGCTCCAGGTGCTTCGATCCAGACATGAGGACATTTGCCCAAGCCATTCCCTCTGCCCTGAACACTTTTGCTTGAACCTCTTTGCGTAGCTAACTTCTCCTCATCCTCAAAGCTTCACATTAGGTATCGCCCCTTCAGGAGGCATCCCTTCCACAGGCTCTCCCAGCACCTCTATCCTGACACTGACTTGACCATATTAGAATTCCCTTTTCAGGCCAGGTGCGGTGGCTCACGCCTGCAATCCTAGCACTCTGGGAGGCCGTAGCAGGCAGATTGCTCAAGGGCAGGAGTTAGAAACCAGCCTGAGCGAGACTCTACTAAAAATAGAAATAAATTAGTTGACCAACTAAAATATAAATAAATAAATACACACACAAATAATTAGCCGGGCATGGTGGCGCATGCCTGTAGTCCCAGCTACTTGGGAGGCTGAGGCAGAAGGATTGCTTGAGCCCAGGAGACTGAGGTTGCTGTGAGCTAGGCTGATGCCATGGCACTCACTCTAGCCTGGGCAAAAAAGCGAGACTCTGTCTCAAAAAAAAAAGAATTCCATTTACAGTCGGTCACCATCACTAAAGTATAGTCTTCAAACTCACTGAGACACACCTAACTCATCAAGTACCCAGTAGGGTAGCCACCATAGAGCAGATTGGTTATGTGGCAACAATATATCTAAACGAAGGCTGACCTCCTTGGTGGTACTGGTAAGAGCCCTCTTTCTAGTCTGGCCCCTCCCACCATTCTAGGCTTATTGGTCCCCAGCCTGGCCAGAACAGGCTTAGAAGAATCCCTAGTTGGAACACTCAGATGGTCATTTGTGAAGACTCACCCTGAACAACATTCTATAGTAAATCTTCCACTGCCCCTCTCTGTACCTACTCCTTACCCTCAAGCTAGACAAAGACAAATTAAAAATAACAATGCAGGAAACATTGTCATGACCCATACTTTGTCCACCCCGGCAGCTATCTCCTTAGCTGAAAACTTACATCAAAGAGTATGTACATATTATATTTGACACCTGTTGTCAAACCGACCTCTAGAAAGGTTTTATCCTGCCAACAGTGAATGGGGAACCCATATTTCCTAATCCCAAGATAGTGTTGAGATTTTCAATCTTTGTCACATTGACAAATCTGATGAACAAAAGATGGCATATTAATGTGCTTTCGTTTGGATGAGTGAGGCTGAACACCATGCACTGGTCTTTCAGCTATCCAACATCTAAACTGACTTCTTATCTGGAGGAGATACCGATTTAGGCAGGACAACAAGCTCCCATTATGAAAACTGGGTAAGGGGTAGGGAGCAAGTATTCCCTTTCCCACTCCTAAAAGCCAAAGCCCAGGAAGATGACCTAAGAAAAACCGACTAGATGCTCCTACTTGGATCTTGGGTCCGGAAGTATTGATACAAGGTTAGTTGGAGATAGTGCAGCAAATTAATGAATCTAGTGGCTGTAGATTCAGCATTGTAGCAGTGCAGTGGTATACAGTTCCAGGCGTGGTAGCAGCAAGTGTCCAACTGGCTACTCTAGTGGCAAGTTCTTACAGGTGTCTGCCTCCCTGGTTTACTGCCCAAGCCTGTTTCTCCAGCTCTCTTTATTCTGCAAGCTAACCTGATAGGCTTCCTATAAATTCCTTTTATGCTGAAACTAACCGGTGTCAGTTTCTGTTGTTTGCAAACAAGAAAATGAGTAGTAATATTTTTTTTATTACCAATTTGTATTTTTACTGCTATGATTTACCTTCAACGTCATTTGCCAATTTTTCTTTTTGGTGTATTCTTTATTCCTTTTATAAATGTTGGCTCATAAAGTTTTATATATGAATTATATTATTTATTGGTCTATACTATTCCATTTTGGTTATCTTTCAATCATGTTTACAATGTTTTTATATCATATAGAAAATTTTAATTATTTTAAGAGTCAAATGAGTCAGTCTTTTTCATAAAGGTTTCTGATCTTTTTTTTACATGCTTAGACAGTCTCCCACTACTTGCAGATCAAAAGAATATTCATTGATGTTTTCATTTAATGCTATTATGAACTTTTTTCCTTGCTCTTAATGTTGTCTCCATCTAGAATTTATTTTTGTGTGAGAAATAAGGTAGGGATCTTGCCTTTTTCCCACCCTACATGGCTAGCCAATTGCCTCGGCTTCATTTTCTAAGTAATTTAACCTTTTCCCACTGCTTTACAATGCCACTTTTATCACCTATTAAACTCCGCATACATTTAAGGTTTTTAAAAATAGTATTCTATCCCATTGTTATGTCTCTATATCCCAGGATGATATAGGTTTAGAATACACTGAAATGTTTTATAGGGCAATACTTCCTAAATTTTATTATCTATCTGTTTGCTTACTCTCTCAAATGAATTTAATACTTTGGGGGGATTAATGTTTGTAGATTAATTTATGGAAAATTCACATCATCACAATATTCATCTTATAAGAGATGAAAGTATGTCTTTTAAAAATTGTACAAGGGCTTTCTTTCTTTCTTTCTTTCTTTCAATTAGAGGCAGGGTCTCACTCTTGCTCAGACTGGTCTTGAACTCCTGACCCCAAGTGATCCTCCCACCTCCGCCTCCCAGAGTGCTAGGATTACAGGCATGAGCCACCATGCCTGGCCACAAGGGCTTTCTGTGTCCCTCAGAGTACCATTTTCTTTCATATTTGTTACTGTTATGAATGGCATTATACTTTATGCCATTATATTTTAAGTTGTTTGTCTATAGGACAAAATTATTTTTGTAACCAGCCACCTTGATATACTTTCATTCTTTCTCATAGCTGTCAGTTGATTCTCTTGGGTTTTTAAGGAATTTATATCAATGCCTGAGATAATAACTTTGCTTCTTCGTTTATACTCTTTTATTTTCCTCCTAATTGCCCTTCCAGGATTCTGTCAGTAGCAGTAATAAAAGTAGGAAAGCCTGTACTGTTTCTGACATTAATAACAATTCTTCTAGTGCTTCCCCATTAAGCATGATGCTTGCTTTTGGTTTGAGATATATATTATTTATTGCATTAAAGTGGTATCCATTTATTCCTACCTCAGAAAGGGTTATTATCAGAAATGGATCTTGAATTTTATCAAATGCCTTCTGGGCATCATCAGAGAGGAACATCTGCTTTTTTCTCCTTTGGCCTCTATCTCCATCACAGGTTCTTGGTTGCAAACAACATAAACTGTTTTTACTAACTTAAGCAGGAAAGACGTTCATTAGAAGAAAATCGACAGCTCACAGAACTGTTGGAAAAGCTTCAGA